GAGGACATGATGCAGGAGCTGGAGACGCGTGTCGAGGAGGAGGAGGAGCGTGTACTGGCTCTGGGCGGTGAGAAGAAGAAACTCGAGTTGCACATCCAAGATCTGGAGGAGCAGCTGGAAGAGGAGGAGGCGGCGCGCCAGAAGCTGCAGCTGGAGAAGGTTCAGCTGGATGGCAAAATTAAGAAGCACGAGGAGGATCTCGCTCTCACCGATGACCAGAACCAGAAGTTACTCAAGGAGAAGAAGCTGCTCGAAGAGCGGGCCAACGATCTCTCGCAAACGCTCGCCGAGGAGGAGGAGAAGGCCAAGCATCTGGCCAAACTGAAGGTCAAGCATGAGGCCACCATCGCCGAGCTAGAAGAGCGCATGCACAAGGATCAGCAGCAGCGCCAGGAGACGGACCGCACCAAGCGTAAGATCGAAACCGAGGTCGCGGATCTCAGGGAGCAGCTGAACGAGCGACGCACCCAAGTGGAAGAGATGAGGGCACAGATGGTGAAGCGCGAGGAGGAGCTCACCCAGACACTGATGCGTATCGACGAGGAGTCAGCCAGCAAGGCCACCGCTCAGAAGGCGCAACGTGAACTCGAATCGCAGCTCGCCGAGATCCAGGAGGATCTTGAGGCCGAGAAGGCGGCCCGCGCCAAGGCCGAGAAGGTGCGTCGCGACCTCAGCGAGGAGCTTGAAGCACTCAAGAACGAGCTTCTCGACTCCCTGGACACTACAGCAGGTAAGCAGCAGAAAAGAGTCCAGCCAGTAAGTAAACCATAATAAACCATGTTCCGTCTCGATTCGTCTCTCTTAGCCCAACAGGAATTGCGCTCCAAGCGCGAACAGGAGCTTGCCACGCTGAAAAAGTCGCTCGAGGAGGAGGGTGTGAACCACGAGAGCGTCCTTGCCGATATGCGGCACAAGCACTCGCAGGAGCTGAACGGCATCAACGATCAGTTGGAGAACCTGCGCAAGGCCAAGTCGGTGCTGGAAAAGGCCAAGGGCACGCTGGAGGCGGAGAACGCTGATCTGGCCACCGAATTGCGCAGCGTCAACAGCTCCCGGCAGGAGAACGATCGCCGACGCAAGCAGGCCGAATCCCAAATCGCAGAGCTTCAAGTGAGTGAAAAAAGAAGGATTGAGGAGATTTATGAGACAGAATCATTAATCATTTTTCTCTTCTTGCAGGTTAAACTGGCCGAGATTGAACGCGCCCGTTCGGAGCTGCAGGAGAAGTGCACAAAGCTGCAGCAGGAGGCGGAGAATATTACCAATCAGCTGGAGGAGGCTGAGCTGAAGGCATCGGCGGCCGTCAAGTCGGCCAGCAATATGGAGTCGCAGTTGACGGAAGCGCAGCAGCAGCTGGAGGAGGAGACACGCCAGAAGCTGGGCCTCAGCTCCAAGCTACGTCAGATCGAGTCCGAGAAGGAGGCGCTGCAGGAGCAGCTCGAGGAGGATGAGGAGGCCAAGCGTAACTTTGAGCGCAAACTGGCCGAGGTCACCGGGCAGATGCAGGAGATTAAGAAGAAGGCCGAGGAGGATGCCGACCTGGCCAAGGAGCTGGAGGAGGGCAAGAAGCGGCTCAACAAGGAACTCGAGGTTTTGGAGCGACAGGTGAAGGAGCTGATTGCCCAGAACGATCGTCTGGACAAGAGCAAAAAGAAGATCCAGTCGGAGCTGGAGGATGCCACCATCGAACTGGAGACGCAACGCACGAAGGTAGGAGGTCTCAGACCACATGGTTCACATGGAACTCCCTTTCTAATTCACATCACCCAATCATAAATAGGTGCTCGAACTCGAGAAGAAACAGAAGAACTTTGACAAGATCCTCGCCGAGGAGAAAGCCATATCAGAGCAGATCGCACAGGAGCGCGATACTGCGGAGCGTGAGGCGCGCGAGAAGGAGACCAAGGTGCTGTCGGTGTCCCGCGAGCTGGACGAGGCCTTCGACAAGATCGAGGATCTCGAGAACAAGCGCAAGACCCTCCAGAACGAGCTTGACGACCTGGCCAACTCCCAAGGAACCGCCGACAAGAACGTTCACGAGCTTGAGAAGGCGAAGCGCGCCCTGGAGTCGCAGCTGGCCGAGCTGAAAGCACAAAACGAGGAGCTCGAGGATGATCTCCAGCTGACGGAGGATGCCAAGCTGCGTCTCGAGGTCAATATGCAGGCCCTGCGTTCCCAGTTTGAGCGTGATCTGCTGGCCAAGGAGGAGGGTGCGGAGGAGAAGCGACGTGGACTGGTGAAGCAATTGCGCGATCTTGAGGCGGAGCTCGATGAGGAGCGCAAGCAGCGCACTGCAGCCGTGGCGTCGAAGAAGAAGCTGGAGGGTGACCTCAAGGAGATCGAGACTACGATGGAGATGCATAACAAGGTGAAGGAGGACGCTCTGAAGCATGCCAAGAAGCTGCAAGCACAAGTCAAGGATGCGCTTCGCGACGCCGAGGAGGCCAAGGCTGCCAAGGAGGAGCTGCAGGCGCTGAGCAAGGAGGCCGAGCGCAAGGTCAAGGCCCTGGAGGCAGAAGTATTACAATTGACCGAGGATCTGGCCAGCTCGGAGCGTGCACGACGGGCCGCCGAAACGGAGCGCGATGAACTTGCCGAAGAGATTGCCAACAGTTCCAGCAAGGGCTCGCTGATGGTCGACGAGAAGCGACGACTGGAGGCCCGCATTGCCACACTCGAGGAGGAGCTGGAGGAGGAGCAGTCCAATTCGGAGGTACTGCTCGACCGCAGCCGCAAGGCGCAGCTACAGATCGAGCAGCTGACCACCGAGCTAGCCAACGAGAAGTCCAACTCGCAGAAGAACGAGAATGGACGTGCTCTGCTCGAGCGCCAGAACAAGGAGCTGAAGGCCAAGCTGGCCGAGATCGAAACGGCACAGCGCACCAAGGTGAAGGCCACCATCGCCACACTCGAGGCAAAGATCGCCAATCTGGAGGAGCAGCTGGAGAACGAGGGCAAGGAGCGGCTGCTGCAGCAGAAGGCCAACCGAAAGATGGACAAGAAGATCAAGGAGCTGACGATGAACATCGAAGACGAGCGGAGACATGTCGACCAGCACAAGGAGCAAATGGATAAGGTAAGCAATCCCATCGAGAGGAAGTGGATATGGAATACCAAATGGTTTGTTTATTTGCTCCCACAGCTGAATAGCCGCATCAAACTGCTCAAGCGCAATCTGGACGAGACGGAGGAGGAGCTGCAGAAGGAGAAAACGCAGAAGCGCAAGTACCAGCGCGAGTGCGAGGACATGATTGAATCGCAGGAGGCCATGAACCGTGAGATCAACTCACTCAAAACTAAACTACGGTACGTGGTGATCCCTGTTGGACCGCGGCTATGTAGCTGAATGGGTGAAGGAAGTCTCTGTAGAGCCATATCTCTATCTCTCTTTCTCTGTGGGAATTCAGATTCTTCCATTATTGTTTTGACGTTTTTCTGTTTTGGTTTAAGCTCCATCCAAGTGGCCGAGACCGAAAAGGCCAAGGCGTATTCGCCCAAAAAGGATGCCGCACTCATTATGAATTGTGAGGGTCTGCATTAGGTTTCGAATCGTTTCGCTTCTTTCTCGTAGGCGCTGTAAGTGCTTCTGGCCAAGAATCATAGTCAGAATCCTCTCCTTCCCAATGAATGTGAACCAGAAACCAATCCAAACCAAAAGAAACCCTAGCAACCACACCCCTGTGTACTTCTCTCTCTGTCTCTCTCTCTCTCTCTGCATGTTAGGAACACACAATCAATCAAACAATCATTCAACAGTGCAAACTAATGCCGTTCAAACTCCTCTTTCAAATAGAATTTAGTTCGTGCACCCCGTCCTCTGTTTGTTACCTTTTTTTGTGTTGCCCCTGCATTGCACGTACTTTACATTTATATCTGACTAAACAGAGATACTAATCCTGCATTTTGAATGTCTCCATTCCCTTAGACGCACCGGCGGCATGGGCCTCAGCTCCAGCAGGCTCACGGGCACACCCTCATCAAAGCGCGGAGGAGGCGGCGGCGGTGGTGGCGGCGGCGGCGGTGACGACAGCTCATCGGTGCAGGATGAATCATTAGATGGCGAGGATTCGGGCAATTGACGCGTTAATTATTAGGTCAAGATCGAGAATAGGACGGAGAAGTGATGAAGAGAAGAGCAAAATAAACGATTATATTTAATGTTTCTTTTATATAATTTCTCTGTTATTTTTTATATAAACTATTATACATACTTAAATTAAAAACGTAAACCAACAAAACCAACATTTTTATAACGACAAAAACATAAATAATGAAACAAAAAAAAGCAAATGCAAAAACAATGTTGTAAAACACTCCAATTCCCCCTAAATTTATATAAAACAACCATAAACACATAAGAAACTTATTCCCCGCAACCCTCGAGTGGCTGCCAATCGGAGCACGCATCGAAAATAAAAACGACATTTATACAACACAAAGAGAAACAAACTCCCAGAAACTTAATAACTCTTCCTTCAGCATATAGAGTCCTCCACACAACCATGAGGGAAAACTCACTTACATACTTCCACATTGCAATCTTTACATACATACATAAATACCTAACATAGAACCCATAGCAATACGATGCAAAATATGTAATTCATGCATTTAACAACTAAAAACGGTTTTCAAAATGGAAACCTATCCGAAACAGAGCTGAGTAAAAACAAAATAATATCAAATGTTGAACAAGCAACTAATCTACGAATTTAATTTCGTTTTTGTTTAGAACTAAACAATAAAATTTGCTATATTATATACATACATGATTGTATACTTTTACGTAGTGGAAGTGTGCCTGCCAGATGTACTTCTTGGAAGGCGGAGGTCCCTTGCTCATCTTGCATGATCGTGAGAACAGCTGTCGATACCATCCACTTGGAATTTCATTGCATACTTTCAAGCATACATCTGTGAGAGCTTCAGCGTATGCGTGTGCGTAATTTTAGGGTATTGTAGAAACATCAATCAGTGTCCAGGTAATCCAGTATTAATAATACAATTCACGAGAATATAAAGTTTATTAACATCTTTACATATTTACAAACTGAAGGCTACAGACTACAGGTAACTGACTGACTCTTTGTAGACTAAGGTTGTGCATTTAATCCTAGGAAAATTCGAAAATCGCATCAAGTCTGTATAACTTTCCCCCGTTCCCGCCCCTTGACTAACTAACTAAATAACTAACTAATTAATGGCACTGTTTGGTCACGTGGTCTACGCAGAAGGGGCACATGGTGCTGGTAAGTTGAAGTGCTGCACCTGAACCATCACGACGCCTCCGTTCAGCGCCTCGAGCTCAGCAGAGGACTTGCTCTCCTGAAGGCCCTCCTCTCGCTTGCTGTTGAGATAATAGACCCCGGCCACGATTAGGCTGAAGGTGGTTACGGCGATGAGCAGCGTGCCATATTTGAGTGCCAATTGAATGGCATCTAGACCGAAGGTGCTCACATAAAGCATGTGCAGCATCTCATCCGAGAAGTCGCCCGACGTTATTTCGATCCACATCAGGGGCAAGATGGTGGCGTTCTCCAGTCGAGCCCCTTGATCTGAAATTATAAAAAATGTTCATAATCAGAAAGGTCAAAAGGGCATGGGTTCCGATCACTTACTCCTCAGTAAGGGGGTTTTGTCCAGCATAATGTTGATCTGGACGCGCGAAGCTCCGCTGATGGGGAAACCGAAGCGCGGATGAATGTCGGCGTACGTCTGATGGAGCTCCGCATCGGGCTTGATGCCGTCGAAGATCTTGTACAGGACCGGATCGCCGGAGAAGAAGTGCGGGAAGGACGGAAAGATGGGTGAGTCACCATAGCATTTGGTGGCATTGATTACTCCGCTGGGCAAGCAACGCTCCGTGTTGGTGCAATAGCACTGATTCGCCGGGTTCTCGGACGGATGATCAAACACGTCCATGGGCGTACGGTAGCGAAGCACATCGATGTCGTCGTAAATGGTAACCTCCTTTTCAAAGTGGAGTGGCACCTTGCGACACAACACTTGCAGAAAGACGTGAACTGTATCGCGAGTCTGCAAGAGGTTCGGGGAGAACATCGAGGGCTCCGAGCCATCAATACGATTGCACTTTTCCCCCTCCCAGTAGTCCAGCTGGGGCATGCCATTGAACTGGGTGATGGTGCTGTACTTGGTGATGTCATCTTCGCCGGTGTTCACCTGAACCGAGTCCACGCTGGTTCCGTTGCGCTGAGGGAGAACAATTCTGTTGGGGCAGAGCTCTTGCAAAAGAATCGAATCGCCGAATACTTACGCTCATTAGCAGGCCGAAACGCCGCTTTCCCTTGCCCAGACTCTTCAGTTTGATGATCTTGTCCTCGTAGCCCCAAAGGTACTCTGCAGCCGTAAGATTCTTGAAGAGGGGCTCGTTGAACCCATTGATTAACATGCCAGAGAGAAGCCGCGTGCCAATAGGCATCCGCTTCACATGGCCGGCGGCACTGATGAGCGGCACATTTGGAACCAGCAGCACATCATCCTCCCGTATGCTCGACTTTTCCGGCAGAAACTTGTACGACTTGTGATCCTATAGAATAAGATTAAGATAGAAGAATAGCATTATTAGTAGTAACTTCAGCCTTAGTGTACAAGTGTTTGAGTAAACCCTACCCTGAAGGTGACCGTGAAATTCTTGTTGAACGAAACCTCGTCCTTGACCGTGTGCTCTTGGTACACTAGGGGCCCCATATCGCGTATCTGTATCTTTTCGGCCCGTCCTGCCAGATAGTCCTGTATGTTGGGGTAGTGGAAGATGTGAGCCTTCAGCAGCGTATCGAACTTGGGGTCTGGGTTGAGCCAGTTCTTGGCCGTGTCCGAGTTCTCGGCCAGTACCAGATTCTGATGAAGGTTTTCGCATAAATTCAATTAAATTCTGGTGCGGCGTGTTAAGTATCTTACCTCCAGCATGGTGTTGTTGTAGTACTCAGTGAACCACATCACAAAGAATCCGGTAACACTGATCACGAAGACCAGGAACATCACACCCAGCACTGTAAAGTGTGTCAGGTTAGTCAAGGATACGGACGAGTATTATCATCTCAATCATCCGCGCTCTACTTACTTATCAGTGTGCCAATATCCTTGGACGTTGGCTCGCGGTTCTGTGATTGATTGCGCAGGCCGAAGGCCTCCAATATCATCTGGAGCTTCGTTAGCTTGTCGGACCCACTCTTTCCGTTGCTGTAGCCCCCGAAGGTTCCAGTTCCTCCCGCACCGACTCCATTCCGCTGGGAGTTCAGTGTGTTGGACTTGGATCTGCTCTGGGCCACTGTGAGATCATCTTGAGTGGGTGGCAAGGCCACATCATGGCTTGTGGCACGTGGCATTCTGTGTCTGTGTGTGTTGTGTGTTTGTGAGCTGAAAGTGTAGTAAGCAAATGTCATGCTGGGCTCTTATCATTGTACTGATCGTAGTAGTATGTTGCCAGCTAGCTAAGAGCCTGTGGCATATCAGTAAAAAAATTCCCTTATTGGTGCTCCTTGAAGTTCTTGAAACTGATATTTATAATATGTATAATTGAATGTTATCTTTGGGATTGGGAACACGTGGCACAGCAAAGGGATCTATTTGCCTGGCCCGATTATGGGCTTATCAGGCTCGGTTCTATATAAATATACTTGTAGGCATCCAAGAGTTCATCGAACACATAAGTATTGAACGATTGTTCAAAATGTTGTCCCCCATTGAAGGAATTCAAATTCATTAATACCTTTTATATTGTTATTCTATGTAATTATATGTTGCACATGTGTGTGTGTGTGTGTGTTCGTGTATTTGATTTAATCGGAACAATTTTCCGGGGAGCACAGATTATTAACCATGCGATCGTTTACAGAAGTTTTCACCAACTAATCTGGGTTTCAGCACTCAGAGCCTTCGCATGCTGGGCCCCAGCTGAGGCTTCTGCCAGTGCTGAAATCAAAGTACAACCCATATGTATGCATGTACTAGGCCTTATCAGTAGCTTCTACGAATATATAATACTTATACTTGTGTATGTATGTACTATAGCCAGCAATTCATAAAATTATGGAAACAACAAGTTGAGGAGGTAGCAGTGTGCGACTGTGTGTCTGTATTTAATAGAGTTAAGCTCTCGACACTACCACTTGTGGGGGCTACGGGCACTGATACTGATTCGCCAACTTTGAAAACGGGTCAACGCCACCGATAAGCCCCAACTGGGGCGTCAAATTTTCCAATATTTCATCACGATCTTGAACTTACACCAATGTGAACGAAGGGCTTCGATCGGGTTCATAGATGGAGTGATCTGTAACTGCTGTGATGGCAAATTGAATTGATTTCAAATTTCGATAAGACTCGGCCTGAGCAGCATGAAATTACGTCTTAGATCAGACACCCCCTCCCCTCCCACACACATTATTTATGTTGTTTAAATTAAAATATGCAAATGAGACCTACGCTTAGAGGGCGGTCCTTCGTCTGGGTTGCGTTTCTCCCAATTACGGATGTGTTTTCTTAACCGTTCCTCTCTCTCTTTCTCCGTCTGCTTCTCTCCTGTCTGCTTGTGCTCAATTACTTGCAGAAAACTGTCGCGAGCAGGGGGGGTGCAGGCAGTGCCATTGACTGATAACGGCTTGGTTTGGAGATGATGCGGGTGTTAAACGACCCAAAAATAGAGAGTGGTTGAGTGAGCGGAGAGCGAAGAGAGATCGTGTGCACAGACAGCTGTTCAGGTAAACGGAAAACAACACACTCACACAAGCACAAGGTAATTGCACCCGCACTTCTCTCTCTCTCTCTCTCTCAGCGCAAATGCCCGCTGTCTCTCTTGGTTTACTTTGCCTCCCGCCTCGACTGCCAAACATTTGGCGTCTTAATTAACAATTTTGTCGTATTTACGCTGTGTGCACACCATTCGTATTGAGCTTTTTTGGGGGGTTTTCCTCTCTCACTCTGTCTCTCCTAATGATGTTGATGCTGGGGCTGCTGCGCGGGATCTGTCTTAGTCTCTCTCACTGTATCTTGCAGCGACACACTTGAACACTTGAATATCAGTGTCTCTATCCGACAGAACGAACTCTTGTCGTTGTCCGTTGTAAACGGCTCCAGTTCGGCTCTCCGCTCTCCGCTCTCCTCTCTCTTTTCTCGTCTCTGGCAGACACTCTGTTCTCTGTTTTTCTTGGCTGGTGTTCTTTGTTCGCTTGCTTCTTTGTTTTGTCGCTATTCTCTTTTGTCAGCTCGATCGTTGGGACTGCTGCTCTCTTGTTGTTGCTTTTCTGCAGTTCCTGCTTCGATTTACAAAAAACATTGGAGGTGTAACTGCAGCTGGAGCTGGTTTTCCATATGGAATGCACTCTTCACTCTTTCCTCTCTCTACTCAGCTTCTTCTTCTTGTTGTTTGGCGTCTACCACTGCACTGCACTTGGAATCGATTCCGTTTCTGGTTTGTCTTAGTTTTTCCAACAACTGCGAAGACACGACCGAACAGGGAAGGAAACACACAACGACGAGCACTACATATTTGCACCAGCCGTTGGCTAGATAATCTCTTTCGACCGTTTGGCCGCTGAAGTGCCACTGGATCAACCACTTGTCCGTTGGGGTATGGTATTTATTGCGGATTCCGCGATTAGAGCCCACGCACTATCTGGCCGGGAGAACCGATTAGATTTCGCTTTCTGGGGGGGGTGTTTGTAACTCGACTGCTAGTTTCGATAGACTTTTGAAAACACTGGCACTGGACACGGGGGACGGGACCTACTGAGACTGTGGCTGTGGCTCGTGCTTGCTGCCCTCCAAACAAGTTATTACTACGACGAAATCTGCTCCGCTCCGTTCGGAATCAGCAGCTGTTTTGTTCTCTTTCCTCGTTCTACGATCTGCCTTGCTTTCGGTGCCTGCCCAGGCCGCTGTCTCTGCTGCAGCTCTGCGCTCTGCCATTGATAAGCGTTTGGTCAGCTATGATTGCTGATAACCGGGATTTCTTGCTTACTACGTAGCAGCGCCGCCATTGTGCGTGTGCCACTTTCTGTGTTTGTGTGTGTAATGAGACAAAGTGCAAATATAATCATCATTTATACAAAGGAGCCAGCCAGTCGCAATGATACTCACATACGCACACACACACTCTCAGGAGGAAGAGATACATAGAGAGCAGCCATCTGCAGCAGCCTCATCCATCCCCATCCCCGGATTGCTTTCTCTCAGCGAGAGAGTGGCGACTTCATTATTATCGAATTAGATGAGCTGCGTGGACGGGCATACGGAAAGCGGCGAAGGGGCCATTCAGAAGCGGGCTTCATTGTTTCTCCTCCCATCTGCAATACACATGGAGAAAAGGCGAGCAGGTCGAGAACCTTCTTATAGACACAGCGCACTTCGAAACAGTGGAATGAACGCTAAAGTGTCGTTTGACCAGAAATATATATATGCAATAAAGGTCTATATATAGGAATGCTCAAATGCCCAAATGCAAATAAATAGATATTTGCCTATGTATCGGTATCGGTATGTTTTCGTTAATCACTTGCCAAAACAATTGAATTAGCGCTAAACCAATCAATTAGCAATGAACAAAGGAAAGTGCATGCGCCATTTCGCTCAGTGCATGGGCGCTCAAGGTGCGCTACCTCTTTCTTTCTTTATTTACTTACTGCTCGTTCCGTTCTCTCTCCTCGGTTTCTGTTTTCGTTTTGCAATTCTTGGAGCATGTGAGGATATATTTAGATTACCTTATCTTTCAGCTGTCAGAATGCTCATTTCTTAAGCTAGCAGAAAGGCCTCAAGCCCCGCATCCATCCCCATGACAACGTGATTGCTCGCAGCGCAGATTCTCCCCCGGGAGGGAGGAGAATCGCGAGTTATTGAACCCCACCACGGCCGGAGACCGCAGGCCCAAGCCTCGATTGTGTGCTCAGCATTTATCAGTTTAGTCAAGAGTTTACAATTAATCTGCTGTACTATGGTGCGGGGCTGGCTTTCCATACTTTCTGTACGACTACAGCTGTGAAGTGGCGGCCCCATCGTGTTTTGCATCAGCCTCGACTGATAGCCTCTCTGAACTTTTTGTTTTTCTAGAAGGCGGAATGACGCGGATGAAGCCTCCAATGGCTCAATCGCTTAATCGCTCCGTGCCGCTAATAGCTTTCCAATATGTAATGTTCCCCTGTAATGCCATGCCTGTAGTCTCCGCCCCCGAGCAGGTCTCAAGAGCTGCGCTTCAAAGTCTAGTTTACGGCGGAGTATTTGACTGGAACTGACAACTTAAGTGGCCCTTAGCTGCAGTTGCTTTGGGCCCGACCCGCTCATAAACTACCTTAAAAAGCCGTAAAGATGGAGTGCAAAGTCATTTCCATCATGTTAAATGTAGAGCTGTGCCCTCGATTGGCACCCAGTTCCCGCTTCCTGAATGCTTGCCTATAGGGAAGGGATCTTATCAGCTCTGACTTATAAATATGGGGGGGCATTATCAACAACCTGGGTTGCCGGGTCGTCAAGTGCCAAAATTAGTTCTTATATACACAAATACACACACAAGAATCACACAGAATGAATCTAAAAATGAAATAATAAAAGTTCTCCAGAAAGTAGAGCAGCAAAGGAATCGGAAATCAAGAATCTGCAAATCGCAAGTCTGCCCTTACTAAGATAGTTCTTCAGAAGATCCCGTAAGGTGCTGCTGATTGGACATGTTGGTTTCCAACATTGTGTACCGTAAGTGGAAACTAATTTGGATTTTGTTAGCGTTGTGGTGGGGCGGCAGCAGGTGGTGCGTCGGCGAGGCAGGGGCAGGGGCAATTGATGACACGCAACAACATTTAAATTTACATGTGCGTATGTTGTTGCTGCTTTTCCTGTTGCTGTGCTTTTATTATTATTTATTGCATCACTTACAACCAAACTGCGCCACTTTGTACGACAGTTTACATAAACAGAAAGGTCGCATGCAACCCGGTTGGCCTTATTGGCATGCAAAGTCGTCGTAGAGTTAGGCATTGGATACGGGTCGACGTCGGCCCATCCACAAGCACAATATCTCTGTGCGTGTGTGTGTGGTTGGTCTTGGAGCGGAATGTCGAACACATTGAGGCGATAATGTCTTGGTTCGCCTTCTAATAGTAGAGTTATTGTTATGGGGCTTGAGCAATGGCATTTGTCAGCTTAAGGGAACATATTTAAAGCTGATTTTTTTGGGGAATTGGATTATAAATTGAATTGCTCTCTGCAATAACCTCAAATCTTACCATTTCTCTTTTACATCAGGAGCTACTTATGATTAAACTCTATCTAAATTTCTAAGATTTTACCATCAGAACTTTCCACTGATTCATTTGAGTTGGGGAAAACTCTTCTATCTTTTCCAACCTGGGCATGCTTTCTGTGAAGTTTTCTTCCAGTGGACTGGGACAATTTCTTGAATCACATTTCCTAGACATGGTCTGAAATGTTTTGCCCCCGCTGTTGTTGGTTATGCAAATGCAACAAGTTTTTGCCTCGTGTTATTTCCACCGTTTGCGCATTTCCCAAAAGCCAGTTTATGCTTAGGCACGAAACGAAAGCTTTTGCAAGATTCCGATTCTGGAGGCAACAACACACCAACCCATAAACCTTGCGCAATGCCAACAACCGAAGCTGCAACATTCAGTGGCAATAGCAATAATTTGTGATCATTGGAGCTGTCAACTTTTGCATACACTCTGCGGCTTCATCTTGATCTGTCTTCGTTATTGTGGCTACTGATTTCTGGGAGGGCGGGGGAGCTTGGAAATGCAACCAACAATCAACATAGAAATGAGTCACTTGCGAAAACAACAACAAAATTGATCAACAATGATCATTTAGTTTATTTCGTCCAATGGTATTGGTGTGGCAATCAATGGGAGGGAGATCGCTGTGCCTCTGTGTGCAACATAAAACGGAACGGAACGCAGCCAAAACGAAAGACTTCAATGCAAAAGCAACAAACTTGTTTTTATCACCAGCCGCCACCCATTCCCCGAAAGCAACAGAAAGAGCGACAGAGAAAGAGAGAGAGAGAAACAACAGCAACACAAGCAACATTTGTTCCGAACCGATCGAAGTCTATTCGAATATCCAAAAGCTTTAATCGCATGCAATGCACTGCATTGAGCAAAAGCTCACTGACGGCGCAGAGCACAGCGCTAGCTTACTCTCGCTTTTGCTTATGCCGCCTCTCCCCTTGAGCACACACACACACACACACACCTGCTTTCGTAGCTACATACGCACACAGGTGTACCTGTTTATCAGGTTTTCGAGTTTCGCTTTGTCGCAATGCCAAGCCAAGCTGAGCTTCAGGTTGAAGCTTTCGCAGCACCAACATCTTACGTTGTGGGGCCACTCGAAGACATCGACTTTAGTTTCTCGACGGCTTTGCAAGCGTACAAGTCGTGCCCGTTTTTTGCCGGCGGTTTGGTGTTGCGTTCCACATTTTGAGGGCCCCCCCCTAAGAATCTATCCATCCACATAACAACGCCCGTACGTACTAAACTTGCATCCGTGTAAACGGCCAATTTCGACGACTCCGATTCCGGCTCCCGTGTGAGTGCCTTGTTTGTGTGTTAATATAACTATTTTGAAATGTCTGCCGATTGCGACTTGCGGCTTGTGGTCTGTCCCTGTCCCGCTCAGGCTGGACAGGTCTGCGGCTGCCTTACGACTCTTGTGTCTTTCACAAAAGTCAGCCAGCAACAAGTGTGTGGTGTATTGTTTGTGGCATGGTATGGTGTGGTGTGGCAGTAGCACTCACATTCCAGGCCTTTTGCGGCAGTAAAAGTCCATTTGTTGTTGATACTCGCTGCATCGCTGCATCGATCATTGATAAACCTTATACACAGATGCGGTCGGTCGCAGTCTCGTCGCAGTCTCAGCATTAAGCAAGACCTTGCCCACTCAGCCAAAATGAAACCACTTCCATGGTGGCGGCTCGATGGCTTGACGGGGCGCTTAATAGCTCTACAAAAGCGGAAAATCATTGAATTATGCTTTGTGGCTGCTGCTGATGATGTTGCTGCTGCTGCTGATTATGCATCTTTCCCCCTGGAGCCAGCGGCAGTAGCTAAATGCTGTCTACGGCCCTGCCAAAAGCGCATTTTACGAACGTGCATAGTTTTTATGATTACTTGTGTGGAAAAAGTGAAATTTTCGCTCTGCACAGAGCGCTGATTGGCGCTGCCACGAAGCAGCGACTCAAAACGAAATCAAATAAAAAAAGTTTACTTAAAAAACACCACACCACACATACACTCGGCCAAGATCCAAAATCAAAATTTTAAAATCAAAATGAAGCGTGTGCCCGGGGCAGAAAACCCCACAGAAATCAAATCAAACTAAATAAATGCATAAATAAGTGAAGAGTGCCCGCGAAAGCTCTCTTTGACCACATAACGAAGACGATTATGTGAAGGTTGCACCAGCAGCGGTAAAAGCTTTGAATCATCATCTTCATCATACATATACGACGACAAGTTGTAGGTTATCTCTTTTGTGGCTCTGCTGCTTGATTTCGTTGCCAAGTTGGTCATTAAATGGAGGTGACAATTGCCAGGCTTTGTCTTTGCTGAGCTGCGCTGACACATTTCACTGCGAAAGCAAAAAGGCAAACCACACTTTGTACTTCAGCTGTCTCTCTCTCTCTCTCTCTCTCTCCCTGTGCTTGTAGCTGACACTGTCACTGGGGTAATTGCCACCAAAACTGACCTACTGAGACTCCAAGATGAGCCCCGTCGCACATGTCTGTCACGCCATTGACAGCAGCACAGCCGAGCATTGTTTAACGCACAAAAATGTAAAAATCATTTCATTTTGTATTATCAAAAAAA